ATGCCATGTACTGCCATGTATGCCATGTACTGCCATGTATGCCATGTACTGCCATGTATGCCATGTACTGCCATGTATGCCATGTACTGCCATGTATGCCATGTACTGCCATGTATGCCATGTACTGCCATGTATGCCATGTACTGCCATGTATGCCATGTACTGCCATGTATGCCATGTACTACCATGTATGCCATGTACTGCCATGTACTACCATGTATGCCATGTACTGCCATGCATGCCATGTACTACCATGCATGTCATGTACTGCCATGTATGSCATGTACTACCATGTATGCCAAGTACTGCCATGTATGCCATGAACTATCATGTGCCGCCATGCATTGCTATGCATACCATGTAGTGCTATGTACTACAATGTACTGCCATTGGAGCGAGTAAACGTTTGAACAATGAGCAATGTCGGGAGCTTAAAGACTACTATAGTTAAAGCAGCACTTCTATACGCGTATTCTATCTTAATTTAGTTTAAAGTGATTGTTCTTAGCAATCTAAGTGTTTTTTATATGCTATAAACCTTTTGCTGCTCATAAATGCAAATGCATGTAGAGCAAACACYGAGGACTTAGCTACAATAACATGACGAGAACGGAGTCCCAAGAGGATTGAGAAATGTTGCATTTTCCTCGCTAATCACTCAATAAAAAGTAGCTCACCTTACCTTATACCGTACGCTTTTGTCTTTAGAAATCCAGTTCGTCGGCGATAAAAGTTGAGCTGTGTTTTCGATRSTCAAGAAGACATTACTTGGACAAAGACTGTTTTCACAGCTTACTCACGTGAGGATTAGACGATCGTCTGCGTTAGAATTAGGGGATTTTCCCTTGACCTCTGAATAATATTATTTCACTTGCCATATTTAGATCTAGACGATCATGGATCGCTTACGTGGGCCTCCTGTAGGTGCAACAATGCAATCAGATTTTAGGTTGAAATGTTAACATTGGAGTCTGCATATCTGTTGAAATAATCTTAATTTTATTTTTCATTTTTTACCAGCTAAGGCGAGGAGATATGATTCTCGGCCATCAACACTTAGAGAATGCTACAATAACCTCTACTTCTAGAGAAGAATCGATGCCCTTGATAAAACATACAGCAGGCCTTTGATAAACTCGTCTTTCCAAAGATCAATAAGATGTTTTTTGTGCCTTCATAGGAGTCTGTTAAAAGCGTTTTTTTTGTGTGTGTCTGAAACGTTCATAACGAAAGTTATGAAATTTTCGATAATTCCGAAATGTCCGCGAACTATCATAGTGGCCTGAGTCGAGTCTAGTATGACGTCTACTTAAGGAACCAACGTTCTCACATCGCTTGATATATCGACTCAGAATTGTTGAAAATTGTCTTATAATTCAAAGGTGTTTATAATAGGAATGGATACCTTAGAATCTCCACAATTTACTTTGAAAGGCTACGGAAATGTTAGAGTCGATTCCTTAGTAGATGTCATATTCGCACCAGGCCCCTGATTTCAAAGAGAGCCGGATTTTTCCGAACTGGCGGGAAATTCAAAATAACGTCAAATATCATTGCGTATACGGTACATGACGTAAGAGCTTCAGAGATCTATTGCATCACATGGAAAAATAAATATTGGAAATCATTGTATCGGTATTTTTCCTATCCAAAACTAAGCAGAAACCAGAACCATCCGACAATTTGGCATATAGTAAGACGAGTGATAATCCARGGATGGAAWGCATACTGKGCAAATTCAACTTTTGAATTATGTACAGAAGATCGTAATGACGGCTATATTTCGATTTTATTGCAAAATCATAATCACCTTTAGCATGATCACCTTTAGCATGATCACCTTTAGCATGATCACCTTTAGCATGATTACCTTTAGCATGATTACCTTTAGCATGATTATGATTTTGCAATAAAATCGAAATATAGCTGTCATTACGATCTTCTGTACATAATTCAAAAGTTGAATTTGCACAGTATGCTTTCCATCCTTGGATTATCACTCGTCTTACTAAAAAACTAAGCAGGTTTTGAAACATTTTCTTATATTATTGTGTAATGGACCACGGCCTAATCTGGGCGCTACCAATTAGTTTTGCTGATGGCAGAACGAAATCTAAAAAAATAAGTTTGTAT